TTTTGCTATAAATGGTCAGAAACACAAACAATTGGCAGCAAACACCTAATGCATTAACACCATAACTTTCTTCAATTTATAAACAGTTGTATATTCACAAACATGAATAATAGCAGGCACATCACATAAACTAGCCTTAAGCGATGTCATCTCATCATATGCTGAGCCGTTGGTCAAACTACAACATATTCCAACAGATATGCTTTGCGCATGCAGTGAACAGTCAGGCTGATGCAAAGAGACCGCTGCTCTCACACAGAGCACAGCAGTCTGTCTCACTACGAGGCAATATATTCACTTCTGAATAGATCCGTTATCTGATTTTCAATAACTATTACCCAGGTGTTGCTAGAGATGGTTAAAGTACAACTTATTCCAACACATATGTTTTGTGTGTACAGTGGTCAGTTTGAGGCAGAGAGACTGCTGTTCTCATACAGGGTGCAGTGGTCTGCCTCTGTAGAACACCACGAGGCAATGTATTCACTCCTTAATAAATCTATCATCCCATTTTCATTAAATATTGCCTAAGTATTGCTAGAAATGGTTAAATTAAAACTGATACTTGCACATATGGTATGCACATGCAGAGACTAATAATAATAAGTAATCACTATTACCCCAATTTCTATTTAAGCACACTTCACCCCTACCCTTAGAGGTGTACAAATATAAACAATGATATGCTCAAATCTGTGAATGTAATAAAGTCCCAAAAATAAATCAAAAATATCTCACAAATATCATATGTCCCTTTAAAAAAATAAATAAATAAATAAATCAATCCAAGTGTCCAAAGTTTGATTCAAATCCTCAGCCTCTTGCAGCAACTTGATTTACCTTAAAAACAAAAACATAAAAACCACATAGTTCATTATCCTTAATAAAGTAAATTAATGCATGAAAACCATCCAGTGATATTTCACCCAAGTGAAAAAAAGTGTATACATAGAAATAGAAATATATACAAGCACATGTGCATATACACAATGTATAGTGAAAAACCGTGTATGTGAATCACTCTTTTTGTGCCCAAAATAATCACACGACACAGTGTGCACTTCTACTGAAGTAAGGAGTGAATACCCTTACCAATATTCAAAATAACATTTGCCTTAATATCAATCACCAAGAAGACTGTTTTTTTATGATTACGTCCAATGACGAAACGCGTCAAAGGGAAGTGACGTCAGACGCAAACGAGGAATCGGAAGTGGAGCAGCGGCCATCTTGGAGAGGGGAATATTGACTGTCATAGGCGGTTTGGACTCTCCTGGATCTGTGATGGCAGAAAGGTTTTTGTATATATCTCATGTGATAACAAGATTTTAACAATGTAAGCAGTACCATTAAAATTTCTGGATTTTAGCGTGTGGCAGTATTACACTATTTTCTGTTTCATACATGGGTATCTGGATGGCGGATATGGTGGAAATTGGTCTGAAATACTAGTGTGGATGGATCCATATGGTGCTATGAGTTCAGAGTGAAATCTGAGGATACTGGCAGGAAGATTCATCCCATCATACAGTCTTCTTGGTGATTGATATTAAGACAAAAGTTATTTTGAATATTGGTAAGGGTATTCACTCCTTACTTCAGTGGAAGTGCACACTGTGTCGTGTGATTTTTTCGGGCACAAAAAGAGTGATTCACATACACGGTTTTTCCCTATACATCGTGTATATGCACATGTGCTTGTATATATTTCTATTTCTATGTATACACTTTTTTCACTTGGGTGAAATATCACTGGATGGTTTTCATGCATTAATTTACTTTATTAAGGATAATGCACTATGTGGTTTTTTTATGTTTTTGTTTTTGAGGTAAATCAAGTTGCTGCAAGAGGCTGAGGATTTGAATCAAACTTTGGACACTTGGATTTATTTATTTTTTTTTTTTTTAAAGGGACATATGATATTTGTGAGATATTTTTGATTTATTTTTTGGGACTTTATTACATTCACAGATTTGAGCATATCATTGTTTATACATGCAGAGACTAGTTGGACTGATGTACAGAGACTGCTGCTTTCACAAAGAGCAGAGAGGTCTGTCTCTAAAGAATGCTGCATTGCAATGTATTCATTTCTGAATACATTCCTTATCTGATTTTCTGTTTCACTATATTTTTATTGAAAAGGTTTTACATAACCATAGTACAAAAATGTATATATAAACGTCAAGTTATAGGAGTAGGGGCCATGCATGATGAGAATGTGTAAGGCCCTTGTCACAACATACTTGTTTATATATCTTATCTAACGGGCTCTCTATGTGGTCAATTTTCCAGTGGGGGATCTGGTGACAGGTTAAAGCAACCCTATAAAACAGTTTAGTATTGTAGCAGGGGAAGCCCCTATCAGGGGAGTGCCCCTTGAGCCTTTTTAAGGCAACAATGATGCGTACCACAAAGACAGAAAGATAGATAAAAGCAGAGTAAAGTATACAGTGTCAGGGTCCAGATCTGAACCTGTGATCTCTGTGGTGTCTGGCTGTAGTTCATCTCACTGTGCCACCCAGGATGCTACACAGCGCTGTATCTGCTCTCTTAGAACAATCTTGCCCTGTCTCTTGTTTCTCGTGAACCTTGAACTCTTTGCTCCTCTCATGAACGTCCTAATTTACGTCATATCTCTGCATTTCCTGTTTGCTAGATTATGGTGTTCTCTCTCTCTCCAGCCGATAACTTGTTCCTTTGCATACCTGCTGTCCTTATCTTCACTACCAATCATTACTGACCTTTGGCTTGTTCAACGCTTACACTTCTGCTTGATCCCAACCTGCAATGACTTGTTACTGACCTTGGCTTGTGTACTGACTATGCTTCTGCTTGATCCCTACCTGCTGTATCTGCTACTGGACCCCAGGTTACTCACCTCTTAGTGGGGAGATCCTAAGGAGTGTGACCAGGTGTTAACATGCAGCAAAAACCATTTCCACCACTAGGAGTTCTAGTGTATACCAATTAGTGTTTAGACTCTGTATCACAGGTGAGCCCATGCCATCTGCCAGGGTGACCTTCCTGTATACCTATCTTACTGGTTGGTGGGAGCCTCTGAACTGCTGTAGCTACTGGTCTCCAAGCTGGACCCTGGATGTGACATATATAATATGGGGTGTAGGGGAGAAAGAGGCAGGAAGGGATGTGGATCAGGAAAAAAGGGATGGAGTTGGGCTGGCATAGACGTCCACACCCCTCTATGCCCCATGAATGTCTACACCCACTTCTTAAAACAGCATTGAGTCAGCAGTTTTGTTATAACTAAAACCATTTTAAAATGGCGGCTGAACACAACGGCCGTCATGGGTCCCACCGAAATCAGTGCTAGAGCCATCCACTACAATGACAGCTGCAGTTCAGCACTAAACTCAAGGGATTGACTGTGATCTGGACTACAAAAAGTTCAACAAGGTCAATCCATAGTAGAGCAATGCAACACCATGCTTTAGTATTGTGCTTAAACAGGATGTGCTGTGACATCACCTGTAAAGAATAGACATAATTTGTAGACAATCTTGCATCTACTAATACAAACAATGGAAATAAACTTTGAAACCTTTCTCCAACTCACCACCTGTGCCAGGTCCGAGTCTGACCCCTCCAAATTTCTTCCGCTGCTGTCCCATTAAGGAAGGTAGGTTGTGGGAAATCTCATATTCACAGATCTAAATCAGCCATTTATCGGATCACCAAGAACGTCAAGGAGAGAGATTCAATGGTTGTGAAGAAGGCTTCAGAGCACCCAAGAAAGCACCAGGACCGTCTCCTATAGTTGTTTCAGCTGCAGAGCTTGCTCAGGAATGGCAGCAAGCAGGTGTGAGTGCATCTGCATGCACAGTGAGGCAAAGACTTTCAGGAAGGCCTGGTGCCAAGAAGGGCAGCAAAGAAGCCATTTCTCTCCAGGAAAAACATCAGGGACAGACTGATGTTCTGCAAAAAGTACAGGGATTGGACTGTTGAGGAGTGGGGTAAAGTAATTTTCTCTGATGATTCCCCTTTCCGATTGTCTGGGGCATCCATAAAAAAAAACCTTGTCCAGAGAAGAAAATGTCCTTTGTCATACCAACAATAAAGCATCCTGAGACCATTCATGTGTGGGGTTGCTTCTCAGCCAAGAGAGTGAGCTCACTCACAATTATGCCTAAAAACAAAGCCATGAATAAAGAATGGTACAAAAACATCCTCTGAGAGCAACGTCTCCCAACCATCGAAGAAAAGTTTGGTAATGAACAATACCTTCTCCAGCATGATGGAGCACTTTGCCATAAAGCAAAAGTAATAAAATTTTGGGTCCATGGCCAGGAAACTCCCCAGACTTTAATCCCATTGAGAACTTGTGGTCAGTCCTCAAGAGACGGGTGAACAAAAACCCCCCCCACAAATTCTGACAAACTACAAGCACTAACTATGCAAGAATGTGCTGCCATCAGTCAGGATGGGGCTCAGAAATTGATTGACAGCATGCCAGGGCAAATTGCAGAGGTCTTGAAAAAGAAAGGTCAACACTGTAACTATTACCTCTTTGCATAAACTAAATGTAATTGTCAATAAAAGCCTTTGACACTCATGAAATGCCTGTAATTATACTTCAGTATACCGTAGTAACATCTGAGAAAAAGATCTAAAATCACTGAAGCAGCAGACTTTCTGAAAATTAATAATTTGTGTCATTCTCAAAACTTTTGGCCAGGGCTGTACCTGTTGCTCCTGACAAAATTTCAATGTTGTCCTGTATTCTGTACACTCTGTAGTCTTATCTCAGGTAGTCTCATCAAACTTGCACATGATACCTCTGTGAACTACAGGACCTCTCCCCCTTACATTGTTATGAAGAAAGGGGGAGGAGTTCTGTAGCTCAAACACAATGAGAAAAATTAGCATTGTAACCCTAGGACAGGAAGTATGTTACTGGCAGGCAGGGCTGCTATTAGAAACCATGGGGCCCCATACATCCAGGTCCCCCTCCTAAAAAGTTTGCTATGTCTTAGTTATGAATGAACAGTACCGATCACTCATTGTGTCCATTCAGGAAAGGAAGGGGCTGGTAAATGTGACATATTTATCAGACCCTTCTCCCACTCTCCATCCTGAAGGATCCTATTGGGTGCTTGCAGCTGCCAGTGGAAAGGAGAGGAGGGAAGCAGCATTGGGGGGGGGGGGGGACAAAGGGGGGCCTGGGCAGCAGGAGGAAATGGAGCACAGCGAGGGTGATAGGTGCTGCAGGGGGGCTATTACTGGAATCGATCCCCTGCATGGCTCTCTCTGCAGCAGCTGAAAGCCAGCAGGAGGGAGAGGAGAAGCAACCAGCTGTCATCTGCTGTAGAGAGCCATACAGGGGATCAGTTCCAGTAATTCTCCCCTCCCCCCGCTGTGCCAATCTCCCTCCCTGCCCACACCTGATTTACCCAGCTGCCTGGGCCCCCCTGCTGGCCTGGGCCCAGTACAGGAGGACTGGTGGTACCCCCTTATCCACGGCTCTGCTGGCAGAATTACCAAGTGAAAATAAAGAAAGAAAAAGCCTGAAAAAAAGAATGCAACCACCACATCTAAGAACTGGTAAGCTACAATGAAAAGTGTAAAAATGTGAATAAAATAATTCTAAAGATAAGTATACCCACCTTACACACAATTAGGATATATATTAAAAAATTAGGTATTAATGAAGACTTTCAAAGATTTAAGACTAGCTTTAGGGGCTTCCTTGTAGTATCACTTTTCATGTAAAACGGAAGTAGAAAAGCTTTTTGCCGTAAGTTGTTATCAATATCTATGTGTATCTTTGGTTTTCACTATTTAGCAAAACATGTGATTTAAAATATATACAGTATATAATATACATTTAGTGCACTTATGTATTCCATGAGATGTCATAATGTCATGAAATGACTTTTCAGTCCAGCCACTGTAATTACCTGACATCAGCCTTTATGCTGACTTGACATACTCCATCTGAGAGCTAACGTCAAATTTGCAGTGAGAGTGCCTTCTCTGTATGCTTATGCGTAGAAGAGGGATGTACTTAGGTGGGCTTGCAGACGTAAGACAAATACAGAATCTGAGAACTGCCACTCATGCTATTAGGTTATGCAGTTTAACATGGATGGGAAAATTAAACATTAGTCAACCATGTGTGTTGGTATAGACTTTTTTAAGCTGGCAAACAATAACTAGAATGTTTCAAACGTTTAGATGTTTTCCTAGAAGCTATACTAAAGACAAATGTCTAAATACACAGAAGACGTGATCTGTTTTACCTTCTATAGCAGGGGTCTCCAAACTTTATAAATAAGGGCCAGTTTACTGTCCTTCAGACTTTGGGGGGGGGGGGGGGGTGGACTGTGGCCATTGGGAGAAGAAAATGTCCTTGCATCAGTGGGAGTAAACAATGCCTCATCATTGGTATTAACCGGAGATATAGTGCCCCATCACTGGTATCAATGGGAGAAATAGTTTCCTATTGTTGGTGTCAGTTGGAGAACTGGTGTCCCATTGTTGGCATCAGTGGGAGGAATAGTGCCCCATCATTAGTGTCAGTGGGAGGAATAATGCCCCATCATTGTTGTCAGTAGGAGGAATAGTGCCCTATCATTATTTTCAGTAGGAAAAATAGTTCCCTATCAGTGGTAGGAATATTACCCCATTATTGTCAGTGGAAGGAATAGTGCCCCATCACTGGTGTCAGTGGGAGGAATAGTGCCCCATCATTGGTGTCAGTGGGAGGAATAGTGCCCCATCATTGGTGTCAGTGGGAGGAATAGTGCCCCATCATTGGTGTCAGTGGGAGGAATAGTGCCCCATCATTGGTGTCAGTGGGAGGAATAGTGCCCCATTATTGGTGTCAGTGGAAGAAAGAGTGCCTCATTGTTGGTGTCAGTGGCGGGAACTATGGTCCACTGTTGCTCATGGTGGTGGGAATAATTCCCCAAGGGCCGGATAAATGCAAGCAAAGGGCCGCAGTTTGGAGACCACTGTTCTATAGGATTGATACTCATGTCCATCCAGTCTTCAGATTACACAGCCCTGCCAAATAGAATAGCTAAATTTGGGACCACATTTTTCTATTCTGCAATTATTCAACACAGCATGTTCACACCTCCCTGTCCTCAGGCTTTGATTGGACACTGGAGGAGCAAGAAATAGATGACTCTTCTCTTCTCCCATCAGCAACTGATTGGCCTCTGATTGGCCTGGAGGATAAAGGAATTGATACCATTGAATGGTTCCTACGATTGCCTGAGCTAAATCCAATAGAACACCTTTGGGATATCATGTTTTGGTCCAGCTAACGCTGCCAGGTTGCACCTCAGACTGTCCAGGAGCTCAGTGAAGTCCTGGTCCAGATCTAGGAGGAAATACCCCAGGACACCATCCATCGTCTCATTAGGAGCATGCCCTGACATTGTCAGGCATGCATACAAGCATACGAACTACTGAGTACCATTTTGTGTTGCTGCAATGAAATTTCACCAAAATGGACTAGCCTGCTGCATCATTTTTTCACTTTGATTTTCGGGGTGTCTTTGAATTATGTCCTCTGTAGGTTGATAATTTTCATTTCCATCAAACGATGGGGCATCCTTACATTCCTAACACATTACCCAGTCCATTGAGATCTGATGTGTTTTCAAAGTGTTCCTTTAATTTTTATGAGCAATGTATATACCAGCATGTATTTGTAACTCATAGAAGAGTACCTTTATTTGCTCTCTGCCTCCACCAATCATTTTTTTTTTTTTTTTGCTGCTATTATCCAACTTCTTGTTGGAGGATGGCTGCATTTTCCCCCACTGTATATAGGAACGTAGCCACCCTCTAGTTTAGCATACTCCTGAGATAGGGACTATAGGATTTGCAGTGTGCATAAAGCAGTGCGCAAGATCACTAATCTGCACTGCTCATTTCAAACAAACCAAAGTGAGGGGGGAGAGAGGTACAGGAGCTCATGGAGGCAAAAAAAAAAAACCAAACACAGTAAGAAGAGATTATATAAAAAATAGATCTAAGGGCCATTAGGTAGCGGACGTGGATTATTTTTGGAAAACAAGGTTATTGTTTTGTGTTACTTTAATTTTGATCTATACCTTTTTGTGTGTATGTAACATCACTACTGTCAAAATATTCACATGCTGTATGTTGTAAATACAAACTTGTTTTTATGTGTAGATCATGGGGGAGAGTTACTAAAACTGGAACATTCAGAATCTGGCCCAGCTGTGCATGATAGCCAATCAGCTTCTAACTTCAGTGTGTTCAATTAAGCTTTGGCAATAAAACCTGTAAGCTAATTGGTTTCTGAGAAGAGCTGCTCCGGATTTTGCACCATGCAGTTTTAGTAAATAACCCCCAAAGTGAATTTTAATACTGGACCTGATATCAATAATTTTGTATACTTTTGGTTTTGGTGTCTCTGGTGTCACAGGTAAAGTCCATGCCTATTCCATGAATTGTATTGTACACGTCCATGGGATGGTGACACTTCAAACACATTACAACTCTTTTAAATGAAATAAAAAATATATCTGCGACAAGATAAAAAAAAACACATTATAAAGCAGCTGGTAATCACTGTGACACCAAGTGAAAAAATGTAAAAAAAAAAATCAAATAACAGCGCTAATAGGCAAATAAAAGCCAAATAATTATAACATAGTGAATATTTAATCAATCATGATACAGAACATCCAGTGAATAGAAAATAAAAGTGTCCATGTGAAAACAGAATACAAGTGAAAGATAAAGTCCCTTCTTCTCCAAAGAGTATCAATTGCTGTCTAGGAACCCACAATACACCACGATGTGAAAAAACTCCTCCAACTCCACCTATAGATGTCAGAGCCTCTTACCAGACAGGATGGACCATAAAATTATAAATGGTCATAAAACGCTCAGCTTGAAGATATGCAATCATGATCACATCAGGAGACTAGAGGCCATAGAGAATGATACTCCAAAATGGTTGAACCAGAAGAAGATGAAGGTAGTAGCACTATAGGCTCAACTGTTCCCCCCACCAGTACCTGTCACCGGGTGCCGCTTTCCACTTTTAAAATGATAAATGGTCATAAAACGCTCAGCTTGAAGATATGCAATCACGATTACATCAGGAGACTAGAGGCCATAGAGAATGATACTCCAAAATGGTTGAACCAGAAGAAGATGAAGGTAGTAGCACTACAGGCTCAACTGTCTCCCCCATCAGTACCCATCACCGGGCGCTGCTTTCCACTGTACGGAGGCCCGCACAGGACAGATGACCTACAGCCGCTACGCATGCGCACATCCCATCTCCTAGACAAAGGCATCAGCTGAGATAGTATGAGCCTTCCTTCAAAGGCATTTTCCGGTGCATTTTACGGTGCAGTTTTTATTTTTTTCACATGTTTTTGATGCGTTTTGTGTTTTTGGGATGTGTTAACTACTACTCCTTCTGCTATATAATTTTTTGGTTTTACACCCACACCTTTAATAGGTGCAATCTTTGAGCTTATTAATAGGCTACCCCGCCTAAGTATTAAAGTGGTATATCTAAATTTTTGAAAAAGTCCCTTTCCAAAAAAACACTGGTTTAAAGTGTACAGATGTGAACATGACCCATAGAAAATCACTTTAAATGAACTGTAGTGAGTTTTCTGCAAAAATGAAAACGCATTGCAAAACGCACGGCTTACTAATAAATGCAACCATAATCTCTACTCTAATGGATTGAAATGCTACCATGGAAAAAGTGCATTACTGGTTAAAGGTCACAGTAATGAATGTGAGCAAAATAAGGATGATTTCACAGTTTCTGCACTGGCGTGTCAACTGACTAACTCCTAATACTTGTGGCTGCTGCACTCGTTCCATCTGTGGGCTCCAGAAGGCAGTTGTCACACATCAGCTCCACCTGAGCTCTCTGCAGTCTTACAAGTACAGGCTGCTACAGTGCATGTGCTAATGTAATACATGTAAGAGCTGAGCCCTTGTAAGGTACAGATGTCAGAGGAAGATGCTTTAATACACATTTTAATGCCTCTTCTGTAAGCATGAGTTGACACCCAAATTATATAAAGTGTGTGTCAGATTTAAACCGGAAGACAAAATGTTCTGCAGCACACAGACGTTAGTATTTGCATCATATTAGGAAAAGACAAAACTATATTTAGTCAAGTGTAACACTACTGAGCTTACTTATGAACGGAGCGCAGAGACCAACACTAGCTTATTCAAGCAAGGCGTTGAAAATCAAAGGGAGGTACACAGTGCAGTAATCCATAGTTTTCAGTTTGCTGGACTCAACTCAGAAACAAGACATTTTAAAGTTGTTTGCTATGGGGCTACAGCATTTAGTATACCATCAATTCTCTCTCTAAAAAAAAGAAACATTTATATATATATATATATATATATATTTGCACTGTGCTCACTATATCTATAACTAAATTTGTCCAACCAGCTGCTGAGCCAAGTTATCACAAACAGGACAGCCAAATACTAATAAA